AGGAACTGGTTTACAGAGACGGGGAGTGCAGATCAACCTCCACAGGTCTAAAGCAGCCTCGGCTGCTCTTCTATGTCGTCTGTCCAAAGGCGATGTTGGTTTGGCACTAATCCAATGGCCGTGGGCTTTCAACTGATGGGTCTATGGATTGGGTGCCACAGGTTTCGAGCTGTTCGCAGAGCGTGGTAAGGTAAAATTAGAGCCTGCATTTTGAAAAAAGTGGATTTAAAAATCTTTCTTTTACCTAATTATAGTGAAGGTGACGTCGCGACAGCACTTTTGGAGCTGGAGAGAACATCCATCTTGCTGGTTTCGGCCTACATGCCCTACGACTCGGAGCACCCTCCTCAATCAACAGTGCAGAACTTGGTGGCCAAGCTTCGCAAAGCTTGTAAGAAGCAAGAAGCTTAGCTGTGAGGTTGTATGAGAGGCAAAGAAATCTTCTTGGAGAGTTTCCTGTGGTGGTATCGAAGTTGTTTCCGAAACTGCCAGGCCATAAATCTCTCCAGATTTCCTAATCCGACATCCAGATCTCCTTGACCTCCAAGGGAAAGGAAGCCTTTACCGGGAACATAGCTTTAACTTCTATACCGTGGACATACGCAACTCCGAAGAAAGGGTTAAATGGGCAACTGCACAACTATGTAAGACACTGGAGGTGTCTGCGAAATGGTATTTGAGGTATTTTTCGTTGCATACGCCGGTTACAGTGCAATCGCATTGATGGAAAAGTTTCCGCAAACGCTATGTGAGCTACTGCAGCGAACGCTTCGCGGTGTATCCAAGTTGACCACCCGCTGTGGCCTAAGCGTCAGCTCAAGCAAAATGGACCTCGTCTTCTTTACGAGAAGTTACAAAAGGACTTCGGTTAGTCCACCGGAGCAAAGACTTGCTACAAAAGCCAAATTTCTAGGCGTTATTTTAGCTGAACTGTATCCCTCTATACTAGTAAAAGGGCCATAGGCAAGAGATGGGGCCTCAGTCCCCGGATTTGTCGATGGATATTTATAGCAGTCGTTAGACCAATCCTCTAGTATGGCGTGGTATGGTATGTAGTGGTAGTATGGTGTAGTATGGAGTAGTATGGTGGCCGTATTAGATAAAGGTCCAGTATAAGCGGAACGCTCAGAACCACGCCAAGCGATGGGCTGAATGCTTTTTTTAGCTCGCTGCTCGCTGCTCTTTGCTTAAGGGAGGCATCACCCCACCAACCTGAAGCCCAGGGACACTCTTGTATATTAAATAAATTTTGCTTCAATCCGAACAGCACAGACCGCTGCGCTTCAATATCGGTTCCGGAAAGCAACTTTAGCACAAGAATCCCAAGCAGGGAGGAATGGAAGAAGATTTCAACACACCACCTGATGGTATTGACATCTACACAGCTGGCTCGAAACTCGACGGTAAGGTAGGAGGGGGCATTTTCACACGAAAACCTCCTGAAGTTTCAGCTATCATGGA